CGCACATATGCACGCACACACGTACGCACACGCACATATGCACGCACACACGTATGCACACGCACATGTGCACGCACACACGCACGCACACGCACATACGCACGCACACGCACATATGCACGCACACACGTATGCACACGCACATGTGCACGCACACACGTACGCACGCACACGCACATATGCACGGACACACGTATGCACACGCACATGTGCACGCACACACGTACGCACGCACACGCACATATGCACGCATGCACGCCATACGCCCGCACACATGCACGAATACATGCAAATACGCAGGCACACACGCCTCGGGACAAATGTCCGGCTGCTGGCTTTTCCAGGCTCCATTGACACCTGACAGGGCTGCAGACGGACCTGTCTGTCCCCAGTACGGCTAAGCTGACGGCCCAGGCACGTCCATTACTTCTCGGGGTGCCCTGAGAAGCGGTCCTCAGGACAGTGGCCAGCGAGGTGGCCGTCTTGGAGGTAATTAAGAGTTAGCACCTGCAGGCTGCCTGGCCCCACATGCTGAAGAACAAAGCATCCCTTGAGATGGGATTTTTCTTTGGTGGAGTCAAAAGAACCGTTGAAAAGGAGAAAAATGAAAAGTTTTCCTTGGAGGGTGTAAAGAAACAGATGCTCAGAGAGGTCAGTGGACTTGTTCCAGGACACAGAGCAGATTATTTTTAAAAAACCTTAGAGGTGTGTCTTTAGGATAAATTCCTAAAAGTGGGATTTATGGATTAAACATAGTATATACTTGTAATTTTATTATATGTTTTTGGTTAAAGAATGGTCCCCCAAAAGATATGTCCAAGTCCTAACTCCTGGTACCTGTGAATGTGACCTTATTTATTTATTGATTGATTGATTAATTTTTGTTACAGATGTTTCTCCTTTTCCCCCCCACTGATTCCCCCCTCCCCCTCCCTCCCTGCCCCTTCCCCAGATTGTTGTCCATGTCCACTGTTCATGCATACATGCGTATAAGTTCTGTGGTTCATCCCTCCCCCACCTCCCTTCATCCCTCCCCCACCTCCCTTCATCCCTCCCCCACCTCCCGAATGTGACCTTATTTAGAAAAGGGGTCTTTGCGGCTGTATTTAAGGGGAGGGTCTGAAGATAAGATCATTCTGGATTCCCGGTGGGCCCTAACTACAATGGAAGGAATCGTTGTGAAAGAAAGGCAGAGGGAGACGAGACACAGAGGCAGAGGAGGACCAGGCCACGTGAGGACTGACGCAGAGATGGGAGCATGTATTTACAGGCCATGGAATGCCAAGGACCGCTGGCAGCCACCCAAGGTAGACTCACAGAACAGGTTAGCGCTGAGCCTCCAGAAGGAACGAACCCTGCAGACACCTTGATCTCTGACTTTTGCTCTCCAAAACTGTATTTCTGTGTTTAAAACCACCTAGTTTGTGGTAATTTGTTACGTCAGTCTTAGGAAACGAATACATTCTCTATATTGCCAAATTCCCTTCCTTAGAGTAACTTTTGCATTTCCACTGGCAATGTATGAGAATGACTGTTCCCACACAATCAGTAGAGTGTATTGTGAAGTTTTCAAATTTTTGTTTTTCTGACAGATAGGAAATGGTATCTCAGTATAGTTTTAATTTGCATTTTTAATTATAAGTGAAGTAGAACATATTTTCATATATTTAACTACCATATATCAGTGACATTTGCTCTGTTACTTACCTCTACTGCAAATATTTCTTTCAAGTTTTAATTTCTGTTTACTTTGCTTATGAATTTTTTACCATGCAATTAAAAAAAATTTTTTTTTATGTAGTCAAACTTGTCAATTCTTTAATTTCATCTGGACTTTGAATCATGATTAGAAAACTTTTTCTACACCTAAATTATAGAGAAATTTACTGGTGTTTTTTCTAGTACTTGTAATGTTTTTTGTTTTTTTTTTTATCCTCACCCGAGGACATTTTTTGATATTTTGTTCAGGTAGAGTGGGAGGGAGAGAGAGAGAGAGAAACATCACGAGAAAGGGACACATCGAGTGGTCGCCACCCACGACCCAACCAGGGCCGGGGACAGACTGCAACCGAAGTACATGCCCTTAGCGGGAACCAAAACCGGGTCTCTCTGGACCGCAGGCTGACGCTCTAACCGCTGAGCCAAACCGGCCAGGGCTGTAATGTTGTTTTTATTTCCCCCTCTATTTATATCTCTGATTCTTGTTTATGGTGTGAGGAATGGGCCTAATTTTATCCTTCCCCTCTCCCAAATGGCTATTCAATTGTCCCAGTACCATTTACATTAAAGTCCTTCTTGGTTAAATATTAAATTCCCATTTGTAGTTGAGTCTGTTTCTGAACCTAATAACCTATTTCAGTGGCCTGCCTCTTAATGTACCAGTTACACACATTTAATGAAAGAATCTGAGTTATATGCTTTAACATCATTCTGGTCAGGCTAGTTCTCTATCCTTCCCCCTCCCCCAGCCCTTCACATCATTTCCTTTCCAGTGTTTTCCTGGCTATTCTTGCAGGTTTATTTTTTATATGATCTTTGGTATCATTTTTGTCTGTTTCCAGAAAGTAAGTTCGTTAGTATTTTTATTGGAATACCATTAAATGGTCAGATTAACTTATGGAAAACTGATACTTGGACGATGTTGAGACATCTTCTTCAAGAAGAAATATCTTTCCATTTGTTTGAGTCTAATTTTGCATTTTTGAGAAGTATTTTATAATTTTCTGAACATAGATAATGCACATTTCTTGTTTGTTTTTAAGCGTTGTATCTTTTGGGCTGCTGCTGGGTTTTCTCTTCCATTATATGTCCTAACTGGCTGTCACTTGTGTGTCTGAAAGCTGTTTGTTCTTGTGTGTGAATTCATTTTCCTTTCAGGCTGAATTCTTTCATTGTTTGGGTTCATCTTATCATTGATTTGCTAGGATTAAGCAGGTATATTACATATCAAATGCAAATAGATTTTACTTCATGTTTTCCATTTCTACACCTCTGCTCTCTCTTTCTAACTGCATTGCCTGATAAAACCTCCAGGACATATGAAATGATAGTAGATGTGAGCAGCCTTGTCTTACTCTTGACCTTAGTGGTAATACATTTTGTGTTTTCTTACTAAGTAATATAATAGCTTTAGGATATACACACACACACACACACACACACACACACACATATATGTATATACATACATAGCATAAATATATTTATGAATATTTATAAATATATTTAAGGAAGTATCTGACAGTTCTTATTTTTCAGGATGCATGCCCTATCCATCCGTTTATCTAGTGTATATTTATCTTTCATCTGTTTATCTATCATATCTATTTATATGTCTGTCTGTCTGTCTATTTGTCAGTCAATTTAATTATCTCATTTAATACTCTTTGCCCTTAACCGGGAGGGTAAGGCCTCTTCCTCCTGCAATGTCTCTCTAGCGCCCTCTAATGACAACATTTAGCATCATGCCCAGCAGGCAATGCAAAAATATTGACAAGGTGCAGATTTATTTTTGCAGGGCAGCAATGAAGGGAGGATTGGAGTTGAGAAGCAGTAGATCGATAACTTTCTCTGCTTCAAGCAGTATTTATATTTTACAGATTTTTTAAACATTTTTTATTTATCCACATATTGTTTATGCTTTCCAGTGCTCATTGTTCTTTCGTCTACGTTCAAGTTTCCATCTAGAGTCATTTTTATTCAGCCTAAAGAACTACTTAAACATTTATTTTTTTTTTTTTATTCTCACCTGAGGACATTTTTGCACTTATCTTCAGATAGAGCAGGAGGGAGAGAGGGGGGAAGAGAGAGAGAGAAACATCCATGTGAGAGAGACACATCACTGGTTGCCACCCACACGACCCCAACCAGGGCCGGGGACAAACCTGAGGTACGTGCCCTTAGCAGGAACCGAACCTAGGACTCTCTGGTCCACAGGCCAATGTTCTAACCACTGAGCCAAACTGGCCAGGGCTTAAACATTTCTTTAGTGAAGCCGATAAACTTTCTCCACTTTTGTTTATCTAAAAAATAATCTCTATTGTTCCTTCATTTTTGAAGACTTGTTTTTGCTGTGTTTTTTTTCTTTCTGTTTGAAAGATATTATGACATTTCCCCCCAGCACTTTATTTTTTTTATTTTTATTTTTTATCCTTACCCGAGGACATTTTTGCATTTATCTTCAGATAGAGTGGGAGAGAGAGGGAGGAAGAGAGAGAGAAACATCGATGTGAGAGGGACACATTGGCTATCCGCCACCCACACGACCCCAACCAGGGCCAGGGACAAACTGCAACCGAGGTACGTGCCATTAGTGGGAACCAAACCCGGATCTCTCTGGTCCGCGGACCGGTGCTCTAACTGCTGAGCCAAACCGGCCAGGGCCCCCTAGCACTTTAAAAATGTCTTCCTGTTGTACGTTGGCTTACATGATTTCTTTTTAAATTAAGACAAGAGCATGGTGTTTTTCCCCCCCTTTATTGATTTTAGAGAGAGAGGAAATGAGAGGGAGCAAGAGATAGAAACATTGATGAGAGAGAACATCGATTGGCTGCCTCCTGCATGACTCCCACTGGGGATTGGCCCACAACCTGGGCATGTGTCCTGATCAGGAATTAAACTGACAGCTTCTTAGTGCATGGGTTGACGCTCAACCACTGAGCCACACTGGCCAGACATGATTTCTTCTTTTTAAAGTTTTTACTTAAAAATAATTTCAAACACACAAACATTTCCAAAACTAATAGTGTTTCCGTATAACCTTCACCCAGCTTCCACATATTATTACTTAACCATAGTATAATGATCAAAACCAGAAAATTACATGACTATATTACATGGATATGATTCAGATTTTATTAGTTGTCATCAGGCGCAATGCCAGTTATTACAGAGGAGAACCTGGAGAAGACTGGGGGGACCCTCCCACCCCACAGGTCATTTCTGTGGGGTCCCTGGTGCCCAAAGTTAGACCATGATGTGGCTCTTGGGAGGGTAGACCCTTAGGTAGGATTCACAACCTTGACGAGGAAAAGGCTGCTCCATGTGAAGTAGTCGAAGATCAGGATGATGAAGGGCTGGTTGAAGTGCATGACGACAGGCTTAGATGCCAGGTTTTGGGGGACTGCAGCAGGGGCAGCTTCCTTCACACCCTTCTCATCCAGTTGCAGCATGGCGTTATGGACCACCTGTTGGGACGGACCGAAGCTGGAGGCTGAGCACCTACTGCGTGTTGGGAGCTTCCTCCACCTAGTTGCTTGGCTCCTCCCACCTTCGGTTTTATGGACGGTGAAGCCGAGACTCAGAGGTCACTTACTGGCTCTTTATCTAAGTGGCAGCCCCAGGACTAAAGCTGAGGTCTGCCTGTCTCCAGAACCCGGCTGCACCCAGACTTCTTCCTTAGGAAGCGGGCAGGTAGAAGCCACCACATGGAGGTTAAGTGTCTGTGGCACTAACGACCTTACTGGGTCCTGGGCTGGTGGAGGCAGCCGTTGTTCCCTCTTCACTCCGCCCGGTAAATACTGGGGTTTAATTTATGCAAAGTGCTTGTGCTTACTCTGTATGGAACAGGGTAGTCTCTGTTTAGTTGTGAACAAATTGAGAAGGAATTCTGAAATTGGCAAGATGCTTGAGTAGCTTGTATCAAACGGCTCCAGCAGATAAGAATGAGCTAATTAAACCGTCAAATCCTGTGGAGCAGGTGCGCTCACTGACTGCTCAGCGAGGAACTGGGGTCCGAGTGGCTCTGTACACAGGCACATGTGGCTGGAACTGGGGTAGGAACCCCAGTAGTGTGTCTTGGGAAATGAGGTTTTGGGTGGAATAGAACCTAGGTCATATGTCAGACTGTTATTTACTAACTCTGTGACCTTGGTGACTTATTTGTCCTCCGTGACCAGAGATTCCTCCCCTGAGAAATTGGGGTAATACCCAGTGGTCAAAGTCCACGTGCTGGAGTGAGGGGGCTGTTGCCACTACAACTTTTTCCTGTGCCCGCTTTTGTTTTGTCACCCATAGGACCATAAGGTGGGGGCAGGGCCACATCTGAGTAATGGAGATGTACCTAGTGTAGTTTGGGGCCCCTGACAGATGTTCAATAAATGTTTCCTGAATGAATGGATGGATGAATGAATAACAACAAAAAGCTGATGAACATATGAATGTAACTGGGTAGAAGGTTCAGTGTGACTTCATTTGGACAGTTTCCACTTTCCTGGTTTCTTTCCGCGGGAGTCTCTCCCAGGCCCACCGTGATGACCTCACTTTGCACAGTGCCCCAGTGTGTGGCCAGGCGGAATGGACAGATGCCCAGGCTGTGCCCCTCCCTTGTCACTAGCTTCCTGTATGACCTTGGGGACAGCACATTTTCTTGCAGAGCCTCCTCTTAGCCTGTTATAAAACTAGGGGCTTGGCCGAGACTTAGGGCTCTCAGCCTGGGGTCTAGAGGCCTATTCACAAGTGGGCTCCATGGAGCTTTTTATTATTTATATTGTGCATTTTGGGGACAAAAAGATAAGCTCTAGAGAGACTTACCTTGGACACCTTCAGCTGGGCCTCTTGGGTGATGCCTGAGAGATCTGCCTGCTTGCTGTACAAGCCTACAGTGCCCATGTCCTCCAAGATGTCCCCAAGGTCATAGGCTCCAGAGATGGAGATCTTGGGGATGTTCAGGTCCACCAGGCTGCTCCGGGGTAAGCAGACTTTCCCAGGGCTGGGCTGGGCCAGCCAGACTTCCCGTGATCCCTCCAGACCCTGCCTCCCAGCGGGACAGTTTCTAGGGGGACAGGGGCAGGGACAGGGGCCGGGCTGGATCTGCCTCTTCTTCCACCACTTAGGCAGCTTCCTCTGTGGGCCTCTGAACTGAGTCTTCTTCTCAGCTTTCTGAGCTGATCCCGCCTGTGATCCCGCTGGCCCTGGGACACTGAAGAAAAGGGTCCCTCAGGAAGACTTGTGGTCCCGCTGCCAGAGTGGAGGGAGGGGAAGCACCGGCCGGAGCAGGGCCTGGTCAGCTGTGCTGCTGACGCTGCGTGCTTGTCCTGTCTGCAGGCACAGGGCAGCAGGGCCTCTGCCGGGCCTCTGGTCTCCGAGGCTGGATCGTAGGAATTCCCCGGTTCCGAGATTCCGCCTGCAGTGCTCCTTGGGTGAAAGCAGTGGGGTGTCTAGAAAGGTGGGTGGGATCGTGCTGGGAATGCGATGCTAAACGCTTCTACCTATCAAGACATTGATTTCATTTAAATATTTCTTCCTTTTCCTGCTCTCCAGAGGGCGAGAAGATGCCGGAAACCCTGAGTCTGAGGGGGTGTCGGCGAAGTGACACGGGCTCCCGCCAGGGCAGGTGGGGAAGGAACACGCCCTGGGCAGCCGTGAGGACGACACTCCAGGGGACGGACGAGGACTGGCCGGTGAGCGGGATGACACCTTCTCCTCTCCATGGGAATAGCAACGGAAAAGAAGGGAGAGACTACACCAGCCGTGGGGACCTTCTTTACCTTCTGAACCCGGTCTAGTGCGCACGGGGCACACAGCCCTACCAGGGTGGGACAGTGTCTTCAATGCCCAGGTGGCTCTGAAACTCCAGAGGCAGAGGGATCCCACCAGTCATACCGTGGAGGTCGCAGAAACGGGAGGAAACCAGGACCTGTGGCCTCAGAGCCCATCTCCCCGCCCCTGGAGAGCTGCCCACACGACATCACCCAGCAGGTGGGTAAGTGGCAGCAGAATAAGGGGACGGAGAGGAAGGAGAGAGTGTGACCTCTGAGTGGGTTGCAGAGGCTTTCTGTGGGAGGCGGGTGCAAGCTGGACCTGCAGGGGGCCGGCTTGGTGCACTGGGGAGCATGTCGGGTGATGTGGGGGGGGTCACACAAGCGTGGAGGTGAGGAACCAGAGGGTCTGTCTTCTGGGACTGGGACTGGGCAGCCCGTTCGGATGGAGTAGGGAATTACTCAAGCCCAGTCCCATATGAGGGCTAAAGGTGCACAATTTTACCTTGGATGTTTATTTTTAAAAGTATTTAGAAGAAAGTGGCGTGTGTTATTGATCAATGGTAAGTTAAAGTAGTTTAGTGAGGAGATGATCTTTGATTTAAAGAGAAACACATCAGGGTCCAGAATTGGTTAGAACCACAGTGCATTGTCAGCACCTGGTGGCCCTGTACCTGAATTACAGGTTCACTTTGTGGGGCACAGTGAGGTGCGGACGGGGCAGTTGAAACGGAGAAGAGCTGACAAATGGATCCCTACCTACCACCCCCCACAATCCTCCCCCGACACCCCGACACACTCAGGGCAGGTATGTGTGGTTCCAGGACTCAAAGAATGCCTTCTGTGTCCCCCATGTAGCCAGAGGGGGTCTCTCTGAAGCACAGAGCTGACGAGACCCCACGCCCCTGCAGGAGTGAGGTCAAACGCCCAGGCACCTCCACTCATGGAACTGGATTAACCTCTCCGGAGCACCGGCAGCAAGCAGTGGAGAGTATAATTCAAAGTAAACATAACTCGAAATCATAAAGCTCAAAACCTACATATGTAATAAAGTAGAAGAGCTTTCTAGATTGTGTACCTGCAAATTCTTGGATTGTTAAGTTCATCTGAGTGGACTTTTTCTCATTCTTTGCTGCTGCTCCCCAGCTTCGCTGGTGCCCTGGCCACGGCCTCCCTGACTTGGTGGTGCCATTCCCTCTCCACTCGTGCTGCAGGGGTCACTTCCTGCTGGCTGAACTTTCACTGAAGCTTAACACGAAGTTCAAAGCCAAAGCAATCTGCTCTGCACCCCTCCACCAGTCCCCTGGGGCGGTCAGGCATCCCACCCTCCCCAGCATTTTCCACACCTCCTTCCCTCTCTCCCTTGGACAGAGCTATGTCCTTGTGCCACTGTTAATTCCATCAGAATCTGTTTTCTGCTCCGGAGTGCATGTCTTTGAGGTCTGCGCTTGGTCTTGTTCACCACTCTATCCTGTCTGCTTGGCCTAGTGCATGGTACACAGCAGGTGCTTCCATTTGTGTACATTGAGTGAATGAGTGAATGACACCTGCTCCACGAACCTCCCTGAGCTACTCCAGATCCAAGTACCTGCTCCTGCCCTCGTATCCCCTCTGCCCTTTGAGTCTATACCACCCCACCTACCACCAGCTCCCACACTGGTGCTGTTACTCTGATTGCCCGTATACAGACAGAACTCAAATCTTCCTAGCGTGAGGAACATGTTCAAAAGCATCTGCTCCTCCAAGGTGAGGTTTGGGGCTGGGCACATGCTTACCTATAATTTTGATTGTCTTCTAGCTCAGAAGTGCCTGGGGGGAATGAATTCATTTGTTCGTTCTTTCATTCGTTCGTTCGTTCATTCATTCGTTCATTCATTCATTCATTCATTCATTCATTCATCACTTGCTCACATGCTCAGCCAGCTCTCCCTAAATATGCTCTCTGAGCCCATCCCTTTCTTGGGCCTGAGACTCATTGGCTGGTTCTCCTCTTGGCCATCAACCCATCAGCATGGACACTCCTCACTCCCTTTCTTCATATTCATTTTTTATCTACTTTATATCCTGGCTTTTTACTTATTTACTAATTGAAGAAGAGTTAGATCGCCTGAGTGACTTAAGAATCACTCATAGGCTTTGTGTTGCTTCCATTGTGGATATTATAGTCATTTTCAATATATTTCTAAATGTAGTCTCTCAGGCAGTGTTTGGTTTCAGGCAAGCAAGATAATAAAATGGATAAGTAGGAGACTGAGTGAGTGCTGAACTCAGTTTAAGAAAATGATGCAGCCCTGGCCGGTTTGGTCAGTGGTTAGAGCGTCAGCCTGCGGTCCACAGAGACCCGGGTTCGATTCCCGCTAAGGGCATGTACCTTGGCTGCAGTTTGTCCCCGGCCCTGGTTGGGTCGTGTGGGTGGCGGCCACTCGATGTGTCCCTTTCACATCGATGTTTCTCTCTCTTCCTCTCTCTCCTTCCCGCTCTATCTGAGTAAAAAAAAAAAACAAAACGGAAAAATGTCCTCGGGTGAGGATAAAAAAAAAAAAGAAAGAAAATGATGCAAAAATGTGATTTTGAGCCCTGGCTGATGTGGTTCAGTTGGTTGAGCATCGTCCTGTGCCCTGAGAGGTCACTGGTTTGATTCTGGTCAGGGCACATGTCTAGGCTGCAGGTTCAATCCCCAGTAGGGCGCATGCAGGAGGCAGCCAATAAATGGTTCTCTCTCATTGATGTTTTTATTTCTCTCTCCCTCTCCATTCCTCTCTCTCTCTCTAAAACAAAACAAAACAAAAAAACATGTTAAAAAATGTGATAACACAGAGGGTGGCTATTAACCTCCCAGGGACCTCACTTTGTGGAATACCCCAAAGTATCTCAGTATCAATCTACAGATGTATAAAGTGTGATCTCTAGGTCAGAAAACCTCATGGCCTTTGGACCCAGCAGACAGGAAAACAATGAGCCTTGGAGGGTGAGTCTGGGGCAAGAAGGGCACCCAGGTGCACTCCTTTCCTACCTGCCCACTTTCCGGGAACACATCTACTTCCCAAGTTCACACGGCTGGCTGAAGGGCTTACCTGTTGGTGAGGGAGTCAGCCCACCTCTGCATGGTGTCCCGGCTCAGTGCATTGATGACCGTGTCTATCTTCCCCTTGTCCGGAAGGATGAGGAAGACGGTCCCATTGCCCAGTAGTCCAGCTGCACCAGCTGGCAGGGGAGCACTGAGTCGTGAAGGTACTTCATCTCGTTCGACTGGAACATCGTGGGCACCTTCACCAGGGTTGTCTCGTTGACATAGAAGTTCTCCTCTCTGGTGCTCTCTGGGTTGAAGGCGTGCGCCCATGTGCCTGTGAAGAGGAGGGAGAGGAAGGGCAGGAGACAGGCCTATGAAAGCAGGAGCGTGGTGGCCAAGAAAGTTATATAGCAGCCTCCCTCAGCCTGGAAGGGTCCTGCTGGGGGTCATGTGGAGGCAGCCGATTGATGTGTCTCTCACATAGCTGTTTCTCTCTCTCCCTCTCCCTCTCTCCTTTCCACTCTATCTAAAAATCATTAGAAAAATGTCTTCAGGTAAGAATTAACAAACAAAAAAATCTCCCTGGTGATTTTTATGAATAGGCACTTTGGAAAACCCATTCCAAATGGGTGAGGAGGAACTAAAGTTTGGCATAGGTGGGACCTGGTCAGAGCTGGCTTTGAGCTCTTGGGAAATGTGTATACGACAGCTCAGGAGCAATCTGAGAGTTCCTGAGGTCTGTCTGGGTCTAGGCTGTATTTCCAGTGCCTGGCCCAGTGCCTGACTCACAGCCAGGACTCAGCCAATGTTTGTGACTGTAAGGCAGCCAGATGTTCACAGTTACATGTTTGGGCCTCAGACCAACCTGGAAGAGCTTGGGTAAGTCACTTTTCTAGTTGTCATTTTGACCTTTTGTAAGATGATATAATTCCACCTTCCTGATAGGTGGAGACTCACACATGTGCATGTGCTTTGTAAAACAAAAGGCTTTGCCCAAGAGTGCACCCTGGATTTTCATGGCTGTTAACTATTCTTGGCAATAGTAGATGAGGTCTTGTTGGAATGGGATGAGAGGGGTACCTTTGAAGAAGATGTAATTGACCAGGATAAGCATGGCTGGGCTATGCAACTCCGAGAACAAGTCCATGTTTTCCCCATGTGTCTTATTCTTGATATACTCATTGATTTGCCCACTGGCTCTGGCCCAGTCCTGGAAATCTGTAGCCAGGGTGTCCACCTCATAGTAATGCTTGGTGTCTGCTGAGAATGACTCTAGAAGCTCCAGGTTTTTGTTGAGGAACAAGGCATTGCCTATGGTAATTTCCAAGCCAGAGTCTGACCCTGTGAGGAGGCGATGGAGGTACCAGAAGCTGTGGTGGATCTTGGCCTCGGAAGTCTCAGTGAGGTTGAAGCCCAGGCCCTGCAGAATCTGGGCCCTTGTATAGCCATGGGCACCCAAGGAAAGCATAGCCAGGGACATGGAAATGCTCACGGGGGAGATGAAGACGTTCTTGCCGGGAGTTGAGGCCACTAGGTGCTCATACAGGTTAAAGGCAAAGTCGGCATTGTTTGGAGCTAGGTCCCGGTGGTGGTTCCTCATGCTAATCTCATCCTCAGCGTCCTTAGCCTGGACAGTCCAGAGGCCACTGGTGGACAGCCAGAGGAGACAAGTGTACAGCATTGTTCAGGATGGCTGGGCCCTGCAAAATTAGACATGCTCATTAGATGATGTGGGGCCTCTCAGCCAGTGGGGCATGGTGGAACAGTTGATCCCGTTCAAGCCCCACTTCCTTCTTCCACATCGGTGGTGTGACCTGGGGCCAGCGAGGGCTCTGGGCCTCAGTTGTCTCATCTGAAAGTATAAATTATACCTTTTATGATTTATTAAGTCCCTACCAGATTCCTAACACTGACCTAGGAGTTTTGCTTGTATTTTCTCATCTACCCCCACTTATCACTAAGACACTAATAAAGTAGATAATTATTCTGATTGTAGGTAGGCAGAGGTTCAGGAAGCTTAAATATCAACTGTACCAATATATTCAAAGTACTGGAAGAAAAACACTGTCAGTCAAGAATTCTACATCTGGTAAAACTATCCTTCAAAAATGAGGGAGAAATTAAGACATTTTCAGATAAACAAAAGCTGAGGCAGTTCATCACCACCAGACCTTCCCTGCAAGAAATACTAAAGGGAGTCTTCCTGATTGAATGAAAGGACACTAGAGAGTGAATAGAATCTTTATAAAGATATAAAGATCTCTGGTAAAGGTAAATATGTGAGTAATTATAAAAACTAGTATTATTGTAATTTTACTTTTTATTTTCCATATGACTTAAAAGACCAATGCATAAAAAGCAATTACTAATTTATGTTTGGGGATGCACAATGAATAAAGATGTAATTGTGACTTAAATAAATGAAAGTATGTGGGGATGAAGCTATATAGGAGCAGAGTTTTTGTATGCTATTTAAGTTAAGCTGGCATAAATTAAAATAATAGTGTTATAAAAAATGTGTGTTATAACTTTAGGATGTTAAATGTAATTTTCCTGGTAACCATAAAGAAAATAACTATAGGTAACCATAAAGAAAATAACTATAGAATATGCACAAATAGAAGTGAGAAGGAAATGAAAATGTTTCCCTGCAAAAAAAATCAACCAAACACAACATAAGACAGTAATACAGGAAATGAAGGTGGAAAAGTTATAGAAAACATGCGAAAATGGCAAAAGTATGTTTCTCCTTATTAGGAATTACTGGTGATGTAAATAGATAAAATTATCCTATTAAAAGACATAGATTAGCAGAATGGGTTTAAAAATGATGATCCAGCCCTGGCCAGTTTGGCACAGTGGTTAGAGCATCAACCCACGAACCAGAGAATCCTGGGTTCTGTCCCTGCTAAGGGCACATACCTTGGTTGCAATTTGTTCCCAGCCCTGGTTGGGGTCACGTGGGTGGCAACCAGTTGATGTGTCTCTCTCACATGATGTTTCTCTCTTTCTCTTTTCCCTCCTCTCTCCCTCTTGCTCTATCTGAAGATAAATGCAAAAGTGTCCTCGGGTGAGGATAAAAAAAAAAAAAAATGATGATCCAACTATATGCTGATTACAGGAGACCCATTTCTGATCCAAAGTAAAAAATATGAAAATGAAAGAATGGAAAAAATATTCCATGCAAATAGTCACTAAAAGAGAGTGATGGTAAGGTAGCAGACGGAAGGACAGATATTAGAGCACAGATAAATAAAATATAGAATAGAAAAACTAGAGAAAATCAATGAAACCAAAATAGAATGTATCTATCTCATAGTTAACATATTAGTGTATAGTATAATCTTCAAAAAGATGAACCAAATTAATAAAACTTTAGCTAGACTACATAAGAAAAAAAGAGGGAAGTCTCAGTTACTAAAATCAGAAATGAAAGTAGAGACATTACTACCAATTCTATAGAAATGAAAAGAATCATAAGAGAATACTATGGGAAACTTATACATCAATGAATTGGATAACCTAGATGAAGTAGGAAAATTTCTAGAAACATAAAATATACGAAGACTGAATCACAACAAAATAGAAAATCTGAATAGACCTAAAGAAGTTAGGAAATGGAATCAGTTATTGAAAACCTCCCAACAAAAAAAAGCCCAGGACCACATGGCATCAGCGTTGGATTCTAGCAAACATTTAAAGAAGAATTCACACAAATTCTCTTCAAACTTTTTCAAAATTTGAAGACGTAGGAACACTTTCTAATTCATTTATTGCCCTGATACCAAAGCCAAAGACAATATAAGAAAAGAAAACTACAGATGATATTGCTTATGAACATTGCTGCAAAAATCCTCAACAAAATACTAGCAAATAGAATTCAGCAGCAAATTAAAAGGATTACAAACCATGACCAAATGGGATTTATTTCTGGAATGCAAGGATGGTTCTACATACAAAAGTCAATTTAAGGTAATTATATTATCAAAATGAAGGAAAAAAACCACATGATAAAAACACTCAACAAACTAGGAATAGAAGGAAACTACCTCAACATAATAAAGGCCACATATAAACAGCCCCCATCTAACATTATACTCAGTGGTGAAAGATTGAAAACTTTTCAGTCTAAGATTTGGAGCAAGACAGGATGCCTGCTTTTGCCTCTTCTATTTAACATAGTACTGGATGTTCTAGCCAGAGCAGTTAGGCAAGCAAAAGAAATAAAAGGCATCCAAATTGGAGAGGAAGAAGTACAATTACCTCTGTTTACCACAGCAGGTAATCTTAAATGCAGAAAACCCTAAAGATTTCATAAAAAACAAACACCTGTTAGAGTGAATAAATAAATTGAGCAAAGTAGCAGGATATAAAATCAGCACAGAAACATTAGTTCTGCTCCCATATACTAACAATGAACACTCTTAAAAGGAAATTAAGAAAACAATTTCATTTGTAATAGCATTGAAAAGAATAAAATAATTAGGAGTTCACATAACCAAGAAGGTTAAAGACTAATACACTGAAAACTAAAGCAACAACAACAACAAGAACACAAACATTGCTGAAAGTAAAGAAGATATAAATAAATAGAAAAACATCTTGTGTTTATGGATTGGAGAATTTAGTATCTTTAAGATGTCAATACAACTGCCTGGCCAGTGTGGCCCAGTGGTTGAGCATCGACCCATGCACCAAGAGGTCACCTGTTTGATTCCTGGTCAGTGCACATGCCCAGGTTATGGGCCAAATCCACAGTGAGGCATGCAGGAGGTGGTCAATCAGTGTTCTCTCTCATTAATGTTTCTCTCTCTCTCTCTCTTTCTCTCTCTCTCTCTCTCTCTCTCTTCCTTGCTCTCTAAAATCAATGAAGAAAAAAAAGATGTCAATACAACCTAAAGAAATATACAAATTCTGTGCAATCCTTATCAAAATCCCAATGATGTATTTTTCAGAAATAGAGAAATCTATCCTAAAATTCCTATAGCATCTCAAGGGACTCTGCATAACCAAAATACTCCAGAAAGAAAAACAAAGTTAAAAGTCTCATACTTCCTGATTTCTGAATTTGCTGTGAAGCTATAATAATCAAACTACAGTGATACCTCGGTTCTCGAACGCCTCGGTTTTCGACCAAATGGAGATTCGAGAAACTTTTGTCTCGGAATCCGAACAAATATTTGGAACTCGAACTTCCAAGATGAGCCGAGTTGAGCCGAATGGCGTTCATTCGGCCCAGCGCGCCTTGCTTGCGTCATCAGTGTGAGTGCAGAGAGAGAGTCACGCTTTGTGGAGTCACGCTTTCCTATTGGTTTCATTGCTTCGGTTCTCGAACAATTCGGTTCTCGACCGTCCTCCTGGAACGAATTATGTTCGAGAACCGAGGTATCACTGTAGTGTGGTACTGGCTTAAAGTCAGACATATAGAGACCAATATAATAGAATAGAAAGGCCAGAAGTAAACCCTTGCATGTATGGTCAAGTGATTTTTGACAAGGGTACCAAGACATTCAATGGAAAGGACTTTTCAACGAACGGTGTTGAAAAATTGGATATCTACATGCAAAAGAATGAAGTTGGACCTTTACTTTATACTATAATACAAAAATTAATTCAAAGTGAATCAATATTAAATGTAAGAGGTAAATAAAACCCAGAAGAAAACACAGAGGAAAAGCTTCATGACATTGGATTTGGCAGTGATTTCTTGGATATGATACCAAAGGTATAGGCAACAAAAGAAAAATTGGATAAATTGAACTTCACCAAAAAAAAAAAAAAAAAAAATTATTGTTTATTAAAGGACACTATCAAAAGATTAAAAAGGCAACCCACAGAATGGGAGAAAATATTTACAAGTCACATGTCTAATAAAGGATTAATATCCAGAATATATAAAGAACTCCTAAAACTCAAGTACGAAAATACAAAAAAAAAAAAAAAAATACAGGAAACGGGCAAAGGACTTGAGTAGACATTCTTCATAGAACTTATACAAATGGCCAATAAGCACATGAGGAGTTGTTCAACATCATAATCATTAGGGAAATGCAAATCAAAACCATAGTGAGATAAAATTCATACCAATTAAGATGGCTATTATAAAAAGCAAAGCACAACAACAACAAAACAGAAAACAAGTGCTGGCATAGATGTGGAGAAATTGGAAACCTGGTGCATTGCTGCTGGGAGGTCAAATGGTGCAGTTGTGTGGAAAAGGGTAGGACAGTTTCTCCCATAATAAAACATAGAATTATTTGATCCAACAATTCCACACCTGAGTATATACACAAAAGAATTGGAAACAGGGACTCAAGCAGATATTTGTACACACCAATGTTCACAGCAGCATTATTCATAATAGCCAAAACATGGAAACAACCCCAAAGTCCATCAGTGGATGAATGGATAGACAAAATGTGGTTATATAAGGAAAACACCCCTGTTTCTCCTTTACTCTCACATTACTACCACACTTTACTTCAACTCCAGATGTGTGGGTTTTCCACACATCAACTAATTCTCCAGCACCAGCTGGGCAGACTACCATCTAAAAAAAATGTTTTTAAAAATTTTTCTTGATTTTTTTCTTTTAGGGAGAAAGATAGAAACATCGAAATGAAGAGATACATCGATTGACTGCCTCCTGCATGCCCCCCCCCCCCACGTGGATGGAGCCCA